AAATGAAAGAAAATTAAATCGGCTTACATTTCAAAAAATATTTTTAAATAAATTATTAAAACACATATAAAAATAAATATAAACTATACAAAATATCGTTTTACACTTACAAAACATATTTTAAAATGTATTAATTTGTTAATGAGAACTATGAGCTTTTTTTTTGTTGACAGAGGACATTAATATTAAGTTCTAATTTGGTAGAATTTACCYGGAGAATGGCGTGTAGATGTTCATTTGTGATGCGTTATCGAGTTTTACTTTTGTTAATTTTCATYGTTAAAAATACTTGCTCACAAATATATGTTGAACCAAATATCTTTCTCGGGCCAGATATTAAATGATGGCGGGCCGTAGTTTGGCCACCACTGTATTAGGGTATTAAAATTAAAGTAAAATATATAGTAAAATAATATTCATAAATATGTAATATGAGTCTTATAAGCGGCGTCCACTGTAATTGTTTCCCAAAACAGTATTCCCTACGCTAATTGATTTGTGAAACATAATTATTGTAGTATTCTATTGAGTATTAAGGATACCTATTGAAGTCCGTTGAAGTAAAATCCCTTTAAACTCCATCTAGTAATTATTTCTTACAAAATTGTGAGAGATACTACTAACTACTACTTTAATWYATCTAATTTATATTTTACATTTAATTTTTATCCTTAGTTGTTTCAAAAASTTCAGTAAATATGTCATTAAAACCAAAACCAATAAACTTTACGGAAAAATGGAACAGTTTACAAGAGACTGTAAAAGGTGTCATAACATTAGACACAGTTCCTAGAGATGCATGGAACGAACGTTTCAATGACGTTTACTCTATGTGTGTGGCCTTTCCAGAGCCCCTTGGTGATCAACTGTACGACTCAACAAAGTTGTTCTTAGAGAACCACGTACTTGAATTATTGACTATTATACAAACTGGAGGTACTGCAAATTTGTTACAAAATTATTATACTTATTGGCAGAAGTATAGTAAAGGTGTCAAATACCTACATTCACTTTACCAGTATGTATTTTATTATCTTGCATTAAATATTAAAGTTTGTGTAATATTATTTAAAACCCATTTCTAGGTATTTAAATAACCAACATATTAAAAAACATAAATTGTCTGAAGCAGAAGTTTTGTATGGAAACATTACACCAGATTCCACTGAACAGATGGAGGTTGGAGAACTGGGGCTTGATGTGTGGAAAAACAATATGATAGTACCTCTAAAAGATAGTATGTTGGAGTTATTATTAGATGAGTTTGACAAACAAAGGCGTAACATATCAATGACCACATCTTTTGATATAATTTCTGGTGTTATTAACTCATTTGTTGTTGTCCAGGAATTCAGAAARAAATATCCACTTGAAGTTAGTATTTATATTTATTTATCATAAGATCAGAAAGTACTTATTCAGTTATTCATAAAGTATGCTATGAATTAAACATTTTATTTTATATTTCAGTTGTATCAAAATTATTTTGAGCAACCTTTTTTAGAGCAAAGTAGTGAACACTTTAAACGTGAGGCTGCAAGATTATTACAAGAATGCACAGTGTCCGAGTACATGGTTAAAGTGTTGCAAATACTTAAAGAAGAAGGAATAAGATCAAAAAAATATCTTCATGACAGGTACATTTTTACAATATTGAAAATATATTATATAACAATACAAAATATTTATTGTTTATATTTTATTTAGTACTTTCAACAAACTGCGAGGACGTTGTCGTCAACACATGGTTGGTGATCATTTAGATTTTTTACATGGAGAGTCTGAATCAATGATAAAGGAAGAGAGACGAAATGACATGCACAATATTTATTTACTTTTGCGTGAAATTAAAGATGGAATGACTTCATTAGTTGAMATTTTCAGGGAACACATAAAACAACACGGAATTAGAGTTATTGAATCTTTGAGACAAGAACAAGTATATATTTAATAATTATCTGTAAGTCTGAATTGCAAATAATGTATACAAATTTTTATAGATATATGTACATTTTGTTGAGGAAGTATTGGCTGTGCATAAAAAATACAAATCTATAGTTGTAGATGTGTTCAACAATGATTTATGCTTCAGTGGTGCACTTGATAAAGCATTTACAGTAATTATAAACTATAAACCAGTAAAAAATCAATCATCAAAGTCTCCAGAATATTTGTCAAAATACTGTGATAATTTATTGAAAAAATCGTCTAAAGGCATGTGTGAGAGTGAAATTGATCAAAAACTTTTACAGTCTATTACTATATTCAAGTATGTAGATGATAAAGATATATTCCAAAGGTTCTATCAAAGGCATCTGGCAAAACGGTTAATACATCAACAAAGCCAGTCCATGGATGGAGAAGAAGGAATGATCAACAAATTGAAAGTAAAATAATTGATTAAATKTTGTTAAATTTGTATTATGTTAATTATAATGTTTGTTTTTAGCAAGCCTGTGGTTATGAGTTCACAAATAAATTACATCGTATGTTTACTGATATCAGAGTTTCAGAAGGACTAAATGCCAAATTTCATAATGAATTTCTTAAACCTACTGATAAGTTAAACGTCTCCTTTTCTATGTATGTATTGCAAACTGGAGCTTGGCCTTTAGGATCATCAACTGTGTCATCATTTGTTATTCCTCAACAACTGATACCTTGTATACAACATGTAAATATATAATTTATATTAATAATATAACATTAACTCAACCATATTTATTGTAATTAGTTTGAAAATTTCTACAAAGAAAAATTTAATGGGCGGAAATTAACATGGCTTCATCATCATTGTCAGGGTATTGTTATTTTGTTAAATTATTATTTTATCTTTATTATTTACTAATTTAAAATGTATTTATCGTTTCAATAGGAGAGTTAAAATTGGATTATTTACCAAAAGTGTATATAGTGACAATGCAAACATTTCAAATGGCTATTATGTTACTATTTGAAGACCGTAATACAATAAACTACACTGAAATTCATGAAATACTTCAATTAACCAATGATCAATTTCAAAAACACATAAATAGCTTAATAGAATGTAAATTGTTGTTGCTTGATGGTGATGTAAGTAAACTGATAAAACATTTTAATAAACTTTTAAATATTTTACATTGCTGTTTATTAATTATTTTTAGAATGTATCATTAAACATGGCATACTCTAATAAGCGTACGAAATTGCGAATAACATCAGCTCTCCAAAAAGAAACTCCACAAGAGGTTGAGCAGACTGTTAATTCTGTTGAAGATGATCGTAAAACGTATTTACAAGCTGCTATTGTACGAATAATGAAATCGCGTAAGATATTGAGACATAATCAGCTTGTGAATGAAGTAAGTAAAATAAATAAAAATGTGTAGTTTAATATTTTATTATTAACTATGTCATGTTTTAGATACTTTCCCAATCAAAGTCATTCGCACCATCAATTGCTCTTATCAAAAAATCCATCGAAACATTAATTGATAAAGGATATCTAGAACGCACTCCTAATTCTTCCGATGGCTACAGTTATGTTGCATAATATTTTTAAAATGAATATATAMATTTTAAGTTTATTATTGTTTCATTATTATACATAATTACCTACTAATTTTTCAATGAATTGAAAATAGTTTTTGTATTGTATATACTTTATATATTTTTTAGAATTATGTTTGTTCTTGTAAACTCTAAATCATGTTTCTAACTCATCCATTTAACACAATAGATAATTTAAATTAATGTCATTTATTTACTATCAGAAAGTTTTTGTTTGTATTGTTGCCCAGTGTCTGTATAGTTATAACTATTGTGCTACTGATGAGCAAATTAGTTTGTCTACATTTTAAACAAGCTTTATATAAGTTGATCTATTACTATTTACCAAATGTTTAAACACATTTTATTCTGATATATGTGTGTATATAATTTAGTACAATTCCTTATAAAAACTTAAATCAAAGCAAATCATTGTTTAAATTTAAAACTTGAAATAAATTATAATATTTATAATTATAATTTTGTATATAATATAATATACAGTTTTGCAGGTAATCAAATTTAGCAGCTCATTTTCATTTTAGTTTGTATGAAAAAAACTTCTTTTAAGAATAAAACATATAAGTTTCCTCTTAAAACCAAGTATATTGTTAAAAAGGTATGTCTTAGAACACTCAACTATAATATCATAAATTTACTACTTATATGAAAGTGTTTGTTTATATTGTTGCTAAGCTTCTGTATAGTTATAATATTGTTGTGTTGATATTATACAAATTCATTTCTACGCGTTTTAAACAAACCTAGTATAAATTATTGACCTATTACTATTTTTTAAATGTTTAAACATATTTTAATATTGATATACCTGTGTGTAAATTATTTATCACGATTCCTTATAAAAAACTTGTTATCAAAGTAGATCATTGTTTGAATTTAAAACTTGAAATAAATAATATTATTGTAAATATAATTATGTATATTTAATATACAGGTATTCAATTTTTTAGTAGTTAGTTTTCATATCAATGTGTATGAAATAAAAAAAAAATCCTTTAAAAATTACAAAAGTTTCTGTTTTAACCTTATTTTTGTTATTAAAAAGCAGTGGTATAGATCACTCGAAGTAAAATAAAATTTGTATTTAAATCCGCGCCCATGATGACTACGTATAATAGCTATATGTATCGTGATGACGAAAGTAGACATGWGTGAAAACTCGTAGAAGCATATATACACGACATAATAATATAATTTGTTGATATTCAATATATCATTCTACAGTTACAGTAGAAAAAAATCGATATGTTATGCAAGAGAATAATATAGTCGACTGAATCCGTTGGCGCTAATCAGGAACGCACTTTTGCTGCTTCCTCAGAAGCTCGAAAGTTCAAATCGTGTACACCGTTCTTCGTATAGCTGACAGCGAAACGTATTTTTTTCTTAATGCAATAATAAAAYGTGCCCTAGTTCACAGAACAAATATATTATTATATCGTACACTGTACAGCGTCCTAACCGAATTACGCTCATTTAATTATAATAATAACACTAAGGTTCCAGTGACATAATTAAATTTGCCATCACCATAAGGTCAGTAGTTTAATAATGATTCACAACTGATATATTCAGGGATGTACACGCGATGGAGAGAAAGACCCCCCGCATAGGCCAAAGATTTTTATTTTTAAATAATAATGAATAATTAGATGATTACCTACTCTGAAATTTTATTATTTTGTAATATAAATAATATCCTGACTCCCCCTCCTCCTCACAATGGGATAATTTTGTGCACCGTGTACGCCCTGGATGTACCTATTATACTTTATTGTTATAAATTATAGACGTAAAAATTCTGTATTAAACATGGGATGGCGTTTAGGGGTATGGAAGAGAAGGCGATATTGGACATTTCAGACCTGCGTTGCAACGAGACGGATCCCGGGGATACCACTACGGTGCTCGACGGTCTTTTAGGAGCTGGACCACACTACGGTAGGTCGTCGGACGATCGTCATTTCGCGTTGTTCGCATGATAATAATTTATGAACTTTGTCTTCATATGTACAGATTATGGCGATGTGACCGGCTGCGACAGCCCAACGGATCGATGCGACGACAACGATCAATCGTCTGGATCTCTGAGCACAGACCAGAATTCTAATAGCAACGTCAAGAGGAAACAGCGGAGATACAGGTAACAGTTGCAACTTGGAGTAGGTACGTGGAGCTTCTATCTATATAACCTATCTATAATATCCACAGACTTATAAGAAAAAAAATAAGCTTAATATAATTTTTAAAATAAGGTACTGAATTCGTAAAGTGTTTCATTCGTTTTGAAGAACTAATTTTTATTATCCTTGAGATTTTAAAATAATATATTTATATTTTATCTTGAAATTTTTAAGTACGAATAGTGAAGTATTTTAGTATTTTGGCTATTTCTACCCATAATATTATATTATATCGGTGCGGCTTAGAGTTAAGCGCACATACTGCAACAAATTATCATAATATTATCCACAACCGTGAAATTATTCTTCAAGAACATCAAATTAAGTTTAATTGTTTATAGAACTTGAAAACAGTGGCGCAGTCAATATTTGGTGGTCGGGAACCGCTCAAGGTAGATGTAGGTACATAACAAGTCAAGAGATGTTTTCGATTTTAGTTATCCCAGTGAGCAAGAGCAACCATGCCTGGTGTTTAGAAATACTGTAAATTTCAATCAAGTATTTAAATTTAAAACTTAGTTCTATTATCACATTCTGACTTCATCATCGTTTTCCCCATGCTTAATTTCATACGGTAACACAAAAAATATATAAGGTGTCCAGTAAAACAAAAAATGTTCTAACATTATTATACTCAAAAACAGAAAACTATCCTTAAAAATATTGGCAAAATAAATAGATCTTATAATATAATATATAAATGTACACCAAAAATTAATAGTAACCRACCATCGATTTAATATAATTTGTTTATACTATTTTATAAGTTGTRTATTTCAGAATCACTGTAAAAAACATAATTMTATTCTTATAATATTGGTTATGTTTCATTAAAAAATGATTTCATACGTTAAGTCTTTTTATAAAAGTATACATGTTTTTCATCATYCCGCTGTCGACCCGTTATATAGTTGACATATATATTAAATTTGGATTTATGTTTATGTTTTCAGAACGACTTTCACGAATTTTCAACTGGAGGAACTAGAAAACTCGTTTCAGAAAACACATTACCCCGATGTATTTTTTCGCGAAGAACTGGCAATGCGAATCGACTTGACTGAAGCTAGGGTGCAGGTAATATATTTGTACTTAATTGCCAATCAACCACTCCCGGATTAAGGATTAAAAAGCATGGGGACACAGAGTCACAGACAYATGGGACCGGGCYCCAAAATATGTTCATATTGTGAAAAATTACTAAATWWWAAWTWAWWWT